TTCTGATGACGAGAAGCTGCTAATCCATTTCTTTCAAGATAGCTTAACAGAGGCATCCCTGGAATGGTATATGCACCTTGAACGATCCAACGTGAGAAGCTGGAAAGAGTTGGCAGACGCTTTCGTGAAGCATTATCAGTATAATACTGACATGGCTCCGAATCGTATGCAGCTTCAGAATTTGACTCAGAAGCCGAACGAGTGTTTTAAGGACTTCGCACAAAGATGGAGGGGAGTAGCTGCAAGGGTACAACCTCCACTGATGGAGAAAGAACTGACAGACCTATTCATGGGCACGCTACAAGGACCGATCTTTGAGCGGTTAGCATCCTCAACATCCACAGTGTTTTCTGAACTTGTTATGGCTGGAGAAAGATTAGAGAGTTTCATGAAGGCGGGAAAAATTCAGAATGCAGGCGAATCTGCAAGCGGGGTCAAGAAGCCTTATCAGGGTTTCGTTAAGAAAAGGGAAGGCGAAGCTAGTGCAGTGTTCATCAACAAAGGAAGAACTCATCAGGGTTATCACCATGTTGCTGCTGTCACTCCACAACAGTCGTTGTCCATTCCAGCAAATCAACCCGTGTTTCAACCAAACAGGCAACAACAATCCTATCAACCAAGACAAAATCAGTACCAGGGTCTACAAAGACAAAGGAGGCCAGAAAGAATATTTGATCCAATCCCGTCTACATACGCCAAGTTATTGCCATTCCTATTGAAGGGAGGTCTTGTTCAGCTTAGGGAGATGAGGGATCCTCCGGAGGTTCTTCCTTTTGGATTTGATGTCAATGCCAAATGTGAATTCCATTCTGGTTCCCCAGGCCATGACATTGAAAATTGCAAGACTCTGAAGCACATTGTACAAGATCTCCTCGATTCGAAGGCGATAAACTTTACCCGAAACACCCCCAAACGTCAAAACTAATCCATTGTCAACTCATCACTCAACAAATATGATTGAAGAATCCTGTGGTCATCTCCAAAATCCAGTGGTCCAAGCTGGCAGACATCTTCAACATTAGCAGTCCTTAGATGCTTTTCTCATTTGCATTTGTAATTTATTTTCTGTCAATTGCTACTTGTTATTTAAACATTGTTATGTTGAATGGTAACATTAATGAAATGATTATGCGTTTTCCGAATTAATTATGTCGCATTCGCTCTTTATTTCCACCTATCACAATCACAGACACATATATTTTTATCCACTCCACTTTTTCACTGTTGTTTAGCAATATTGGAGGGAGGATGACGAAAACGAAATACCCATAATTGCAAATCGTATGCTTTCGGACAAAATCTCGTCAATGATGTACAGGCATTGTTTCAAATCCCCTAAACACCGGAGATATAAGGAGTTAATCCCTAGTCAACCACTTCGAGCCTAGAAGTAGGAGTTTCCTTCGGATATTCAAACCCTTAACACTCAACCTGGGGCAGGGTAGTTATTCAGTTAATCCAACCTCGCGTTCAAAATCCAAAGACAAGACGGTTGTTCATCAATGACCCATGACTTGGCAGTCACAATCTTCCAACAAAATTCGAAAAAATCAAAAGTCTGCTAAGTCAAGCACCTCAAAGGGGACTTAGGCAAAAATTAAGGCAATCCCGATGGATCTAACAAGCAAAATCAGTCCATGCAAAAGTTAGGGATCAAAATCAAAAGAGGTCCTCAAACCCTCAACAAAAACAAAAATAATGTTCAGTGGCCACCCAAATCAAAAGGTCACTGACATCCATCAAATAAAGTGACTGCCATTTCGAACAAACCTTGAACCATCAAGCACGTGCAGAATTAGCTGAATGTAGGTATGGAGATCATCAAGAAGAAGGGGTGGGTACAAATTAAGTTTGAGCCTAATATCCTTTGTTCTATAACCGCGAACCAGACCACGTTACAACCCTCGAAAGACCTAATTGAGGCGGGGTTTATTCTGAAAGCATACTATTGCGAGGTTGCGTAACCTGACTCCTTACAATTTTGCTAATCATCAACATTGGTGTCGGTATCCTTGCTATATCTTTCACGCCAATCCAGTTAGCACAACGTTTAGACCAAATGGTCCATTCGTTTCACTCTCACGACACGTAATAAAAGACAATCCTTTCAAAAAACTTGCATGAACTTTGCACTGAGATTATCATTCGTGAACAAACAATTTTGTTTACAAGTTAGTAGTTGACATTAAGGAAATTCCAACACAAAGCAATCAAGCATGGCTGGATTATTCAGCAGTCTGGACCAGAACCAAGTATACCATATAACCTATTAAACTTGGGGCATTGACATCCGAGAGCAGGAAATCAGTCAGTCTGAGGCAAATCCCCAGGCGTCGATCGACCATGGGGCAAATCATTCATGAAGCGATTGATCAGAAGAGAATCATCTTGAGAATATTGATCAGGGGCAGGCCACCCAGAGTTTCTTTGACTTAAGGATAGGTCCCTCCAATGTTCGATCGAGATAAGTTAAGTCGCTTCCACGCTCTTTCAGGGGAAAGCTACTCCAAGAGTACATTGAAGCCAACTACCACAAGAATCGGCCAATCAATGATGAATCCATTTATGGTACAAACTCTGGGGCAGACCATCTCGAGCAGGTCTCATGGCAAGCTACTCAAGCAAGTTCATTCTCGTCAACAACTGTCAAGTTTAAATGATGTCAGGAAGTCAGGCTTGTCCCCCTCTTTCCCACATAACCCAGAGTCCAATCCGCATTGGCAACTACCAAAGTCCGCCACGTCGGCACCTGCATTCCCAATTACCCGTCTGCATCGTATGCATCATACGCATCGCATTCGACTTCATAAGCATCTTGCATCATATGCATACCCAGAATCATATCATACTCCCCCAGCTCTTGCATCTCCGCGTGTTAGCATTTGCATTTGCATTTCCACTTGTTATGGAATATCATTATCATCAAGCATTCGCATATGCGAGCTCAGATCCAGGATCAATCACGAAGATTTCCAAGATCATCAGCCCAGACAGGGGCACCTCTTGCAAGACCGTGGATTTCTCTTACTAGAGTCAGAAGATATCAAGACAAGATTGAGCCCAATCAGGGGCATTATTCCACAAGACCGTGGGTGTTCCCCACGAAGTTTTGCAACTTATTGAGCTTCAAGGCAATTAGCAGCCCAGTCAGGGGCATTATCTGCAAATTCCATGGGTCCTCCCATGGAATTCAAGATTATCAAAGCAAAATTCAGCCCAAACCAGGGGCATCTTTTCAAGACCATGGGTGTATTGCATGATGTATCGCAACCTCGTGGTTAATCAGATCTTCAAATCAACAATCAGCCCAGACATGGAAGTCTTCAGTAAAGCCACGGGCGATCCCCAGTGCTTTGTCTCCAACAGACTTGACTATTTATCTGCAGCGATAAGTGGCAATCTCTTCAGAGAAGCTTATCCATATTCAGTGATAAGTGGCAATCTCTTGGGATAAGCTTATCCATCTTCAATGATAAGTGGCAATCTCTTCAGAGAAACTTATCTTTCTTCAGCGATAAGTGTCAATCTCTTGAGAGAAGCTTATCCTTCATCAATGATAAGTGGCAATCTCTTCAGAGAAACTTATCTTTCTTCAGCGATAAGTGTCAATCTCTTGAGAGAAGCTTATCCTTCATCAATGATAAGTGGCAATCTCTTCAGAGAAACTTATCTTTCTTCAGCGATAAGTGTCAATCTCTTGAGAGAAGCTTATCCTTCTTCAGTGATAAGTGGCAATCTCTTCAGAGAAGCTTATCCATCTTCAGCGATAAGTGGCAATCTCTTCAGAGAAGCTTATCCATCTTTAGCGATAAGTGGCAATCTCTTGGGAGAAGCTTATCCATCTTCAGTGATAAGTGGCAATCTCTTCAGAGAAGCTTATCCATCTTCAGCGATAAGTGGCAATCTCTTCAGAGAAGCTTATCCTTCATCAACGATAAGTGGCAACCTCTTGGGAGAAGCTTATCCATCTTCATTAATAAGTGGCAATCTCTTCAGAGAAGCTTATCCCCCTATCATCCTTTTGGTGTTAGGGTTGATTTTGTTTCGCTCCATCATCCTTTTGGGTGATGGGTCTAGCATCCTTTTGATGTTATGACTAGCGTCTCCGCTCCATCATCCTTTTGGTGATGGGTCTGGCGTCCTTTTGGTGTCATGACTAGCGTATTTTCCATTATCCTTTTGGTAATGGACTCCTTACATCCTTTTGGTGTTAGGGTTGATTTTGTTCCGCTCCATCATCCTTTTGGTGATGGGTCTAGCATCCTTTTGATGTTATGACTAGCGTCTCCGCTCCATCATCCTTTTGGTGATGGGTCTGGCATCCTTTTGGTGTCATGACTAGCGTATTTTCCATTATCCTTTTGGTAATAGGACTCCTTACATCCTTTTGGTGTTAGGGTTGATTTTCTTCCGCTCCATCATCCTTTCGGTGATGGGTCTGGCATCCTTTCGGTGTCATGACTAGCGTTTTCCATCATCCTTTTGGTGGTGGGTCTGACATTTCGTCAATATCAGATTGTGCGATATTTTGTTTGTGTGTTTCATTCCATCATGCTTTTGGTGGTGATGACCAGTTACTTACAGTTTACTCGGACGGTTTACATTTATCCAGTATTTCAATTCTCAAACATCTCCTTTCTTTTCAGACAAATTCAGGGTCTTCTTCATATCTAATTGTCTTCTACCGTGAAAGAATGAGCGTCATATCCATTCATTTTACTCAGTCTAAGCCAATTAGATAGGGGCATCTGTCATACCCCAAATTTGTCCTACCCGTGTGTAAATTTTATCTGTACACTCATTTCAGGAAAATCCAAAAAAATATAATGTTTTTTCTAGTTATTATAATGATTGAAGTCAAACAAGCACTATTTCAAGGTCAAGATTTCGGTGTGCACTTCAAATGATGTGTATTCAGGGTGACAGTTAAGTTTGGTTTATCAAGTTGGATCAGTTGTGTGTGAGTCAATTTGTCTGGTTGAGATAAGTACAGTGAATCAATGAAGTTGCTTTCTTTATTAGAAAGGCCTGATGTTGTATCTTGGAACATTGTCATTTCAGCCTGTGCTCGGAGCAATAATTATTATGAGGTTTTTGAACTTTTCAAGCGTATGCTTTCCACACACATCCGTCCAGACAAATACTCCTTTATGACTGTATTATGTGTGTGCACCAAACTTTGTAGTTTTGATTTGGGAAGTTCTCTTCATGGTCTTATTGTGAAGACTAATAGTTGTGACTCTTTTTTGGGCAATGTACTAGTTGATATGTATGGAAAGTGTGGAAACATTGAAAATTCAGTGAAAGTTTTTGAAGAAATTACTGACAGAAATGTTATTACATGGACAGCTTTAATTTCTGCCCTCGGGTTAAATGGTTGTGCTCGCGGCGCAGTGAAGATATTCCACAACATGATATTGATGGGATTTAAGCCCGATGCATTAGCTCTCAGAGCAGTGCTTTCTTCTTGCAGATACGGTGGATTAGTGAGTGAAGGGATGGAATTTTTCAAGCAAATAGGAACCATTTATGGGATTCAACCAGAACACAATCATTACCTTTGCATAGTAGATCTCCTTGCTAAAAATGGACAAATAAAGGAAGCTGAAGAAGTCATGGCAAGCATGCCTTTTCCACCAAATGCCCATATATGGCGCAGCTTCCTTGAAGGCTACAAGAAGCAGGAAATTGCAGTTTGACTTGTACAGCAAAACTTATTAATCTTTTGGGAATAATACATGAACCAGCAAGCTAAGCAAATTTGGTGAAGTCAAAGCACTCATATGTTAAACACAATCTTGATAATCTTGTTAATGTCATGGTAATCAGAATCGTGTTTTTATTCCTACAATGCATGATTATGTGATTTTGCTTTCCCTGAAAGTTGGATTATGGCGAAATCGGACGGAATTGCAGTGGTTAATCGTAGAATCGTATGATCTGCGATCTCTTTGTAGTTTCTGAGCAGCAGTTAATCAAAATATTACTCGTGAAATTGTCTGTTGCTCAGTAATTGAAAAAACACGCCCCCACTAGAAATGGAGCATCTGCTGAGGTGCTAACAAGCCTAATGGTGCTTTCCAAGAAAGCTTAAAAATGTTGCAACGTGTTTGTCTCCACTGCGACACAACCCTTATTATCTAGACCAAGGGAAAAACAAACATGGAATCTGAAAAAACTCGGGAACATCTTCGTCATTTTGTGGAGTAAAAGGCAAAACTCCCTGCTCAATGATGACTCCTAGAACACGAGATCTGCCAAAGCAGTACAAAGAAAAACCTGAGCTTGAAGAAACTGAATAATGGAGCAAGTTAATTTATAGTTAAAGAATGTCTACAAACAAGTCCAAAAGCTGATATTTTTGTTCAGTTTGTGCATTATTATCACTATATTTGTGGCAAACAGAAGTATGTGAAGAAAAGGAAAGCTCAGAGATAGGACAGCAATGCAACCTTCACACATACCTCACTAAAGCATTGAACCTGCACGAGAACTGTGAAATACACAATGAACATTCTACCTAATACTCTGTCAAAACCCCACCATTCACACTGTCGTGTGCCTTATACCTCTCACGAAATGCAAGCCCAGTTGGATACTTCAGTTGCGTAACAGGACCTGCCAAATGTTTCACATTGAAGTTATAATGACCAAATTTCATTTGTCTTAATAAAGTTCCAGCAATAAGCAAACTCACTTTAAACAGAGTCCAACTTCATGATGTCTCCTTTGACAGAAACCAATCCAAGTCTTCACTGAGTCTAATAACGAGTCATGTAATATGTACCGTATCGCAGCTCTTGCCGTAGGTCATTATGTCGTCCAGCCACGGTTTCACTCACTACAAGTAATTATACGGTCTAGCTGCGGGTCGAACATCACTTGGTGACCAAAAGGTTTGCCGAATTTCAAATCGTGATCTGACTGCTTCGGTTCCCAGTTCAAACCTGTTAGAAAGAGAGAAAGAGAATTGTGTCAATTTTTGGGGGATTCAAAGAAACAGAGTTACAAGCTTATGAATTCAGGCTCAAGGACGTGAAAAGTGGAAAGATTAATGAGTTCATAAGAATGCTTTCAAGCCATAAATACCAATCTTCAAATTTCTGTTTTCGGGCTCGACGCCCGCATTTTACAAAAAAAGGGACCTGTACCTGCAACTATCAAATCGTGTCCTGCAAAATTTGAGCAAACAATGAGAGCAAAAGAAGACTTTAATATAGGCCTTGGTTTGTCTTGGTGTTCAGTCCACCTTCAGGCAAAGCTTACTCCTCTTGCCAGATTGGTGGCAGCAGCTCTCTATCATAAGCAAAGTCAAAGCGGAAATCAGTGAAAAGAGCAAGTCATCTATTCTAAATATTTGTTCAAGGGCTATAATACACATCAGCAAGATAACAGATAGTAAAAATCACATTTTACTAGCAGTAAAAAAAAACTTAGGAAAATAGGTATTTTGTTACCTCACTACAGACAAAAAGATAGGCTTGAGTTTTTCTTTATTCCCCACATCACACCACGTTCTGACAGGGGACAACCATAGCAGCCAGCAATACATCGTACTACAGAGCAGAGCAGAGCCTCAATTCTTCACGTTTCTCTCCATATAAAACTATGTTAGAGGTTGTAGCAAAGAAAAAAACCCTAATCTGAGGGCAGCCTCCAAACCCTAAGGTTCAAACCTCTTCACCTCCTTCCAAAAGCCCTTCACTCAGCCCTAATCAAGTGAACAAAACCTTCATCCCGTTTCACTAACAAGAAAACCCAACACAAACCCAACATCTTCTACCTCCCACCATTCAAAACTCAGATTTCCATTAACAGAAACTCACATCCAAAACGCCTAAACCATTAACTCACCTTGCAAAACCAACAAACTTCGACATATGAACTTCAAATCACCCAAATCTCCAACTTCAGAACTAAGCTCAACACCCATTTCCACACGGCTTACCTCATTCTCCGACCGAAACCCCCTTTCCAACTTCAAACCATAACAAGAGCAACTCCCTCAAATCTCCAAATTCGCAACCACAAAACCTCATTTTTGAACAAAATCGGAAGTGAAAGATGCAATAGAGCGAGATCAGATAGAGTTCAAGATGGACAAGCAGAAGCAAGAAGGGAGTGAGTGGAGATATTAGAAATAGAGTTTGAGACGAGAACGAACTGAAGGTCGCGCTGCCTTTTTTGTGTTTCCGTCGCTCCGTTTCTCATCTGGTTTAGACCGCCATGTTTGTTCTGCTGTGAGAATGTTGTTGTTAACGTTAAAACAAAACCCTTTTCACTGTTGGCTTTCTTTTCTTTTCATTATTTGGACCGTCTCGTGTGTTTTGAAGCCCCGGTTCATGGTTGAGTTTGTCTCACCCCCCTGTTTTTGTTTCTTCGGCAGGCATTGTTGGATGTGGATGATGGGCTGGGCCCAAAGGATTCCACATCCTTTTTTAGACTATTATTATATTTTATATTTTTATATAACTTTGTAAATATTTTATTTATTGTTATTTCTTTTAAGTTTTTATTTTTTAGAACTTTTTGTATATATATTATATTTAGGAGTTTTCATACTATTTCTTTTAGAGTGTATATATACTATTTTATATTTTGTTTTATTTAGAAGTTGAGTATCAATTTATATTTCTAGTTTAAATATCAGGCTTATAGTTTTTACATTATAGTTAGATTTAATTTCTCTTTTGTTATTGGCCATTTTTTTTGCCTTTTAGGTCGATGACGAGACCTCCGTAATTCATTACCAGTCAAATTATTGATAGGTAATGTTGGATCTGAGACCACCCCTTTTCTCTCTTCATTATTTGTCCTGACTCGATTCAAAAACTTTGTCAAACAATTTTCACAATCAAATTTCTTCGTATTGAATTAAAAGAGGGGATTAAGTGTAGACTTTCTTCCTCTCTGAGTGTTGGGATGCCCACTGTAGTGCGGGTGGTCCTGACACTCATCTTTCAGTACGAAGACGTTTCCTGTCCATTCTCAAATCTCATCTCCTTAAAATCATTTCTTTGTGTTGGGCTAAAAAGAGGATTGGGTGTAGACCCCTTCTTCTTCGAGCGTAGGGATGCCCACTGTAGTGAGGGTGGTCTCGATGCTCGGCTGTCGATACAAAGGCGCTTCCAACATTTCCTCATAAAACCTCGGTCCCGCACCGAGTACACTTTCAAACTTCTTTTGCAATAAAACTTGAATGGTCGTGGAGTGGTTAGGCGTAGGCCTTCTCCTATCCCGAGTACTGACGTTTACCGTAGGGTTCTCTGTCGCAAAGCACTTACCATTCAAAACCAAAAACATCTTTAATAAGAGAACGAAGTTCTCTTTGCATTGAATTAAAGAGAGAGGATTGGGTGTAGACCTCTTCTTCTCCGAGCGTAGGGATGCCCACTGTAGTGAGGGTGGTTTCGACGCTCGTCTTTCAATACAAAGACGCCTCGTTCGCCACACCTTTTTTTTATATAACAAAAACTTTGAGATAAAGACTTGGGTACTACCCGTAGGGGTTACTATCTGAGGACCTGTCTCGCCCCCTAAAAAACAATTCAATCAATCAAACGTGACTCCTTGCCTCGCGAGGCGAAAACTAATCAATCTTTCAAAAAAGATATGTTACGTCCGTTCTACCGCAAACAGGTAACGCCTAAGTCTCCAACGAGCGAGCAGCAAAACACCTAACTGCTAGAATGCGCACGATAGCATCATCCATAAAAAACATCAACACACCGTAGGCCGAACTACGGCTGCTCTGATTCTTTACTTTTTCAAGTAAAGATACGTAGGCACAAGGGCCACAATCCTTGCCGAGCACACATCCCCCCCATATCTGTAGTTCCCCGAACTACGTCGACTCTGACTTTCTCACATCTATTGAGAATACGTAGGCATAGGGCTGCGAAGTCCTACCGAGTCTGTTCTTTCTCTTTTCTTCCCCGTTCTCTCTTTCCTCCTAACTTTCCTGTTTCTGACCCTTATCTTTTACCCTGTGGAACACTTCTTATAGCATAATACCTTTTAGCAAATAAATTCACACATCGACAAACAAAAGGTTCCCATCGAGTACGATGGATGCGAGGGGTGCTAATACCTTCCCCTCGCATAACCGGCTTCCGAACCCGTTCATGGTTGCGAGACCATCTTATCCATTTCTTTCTTAAGGTTTTCTCGATATTTTCCTTTCCCCTCATGGAATAAATAAAGTTCGGTGGCGACTCTTCTGTCTATCTTTTTCGCCTTCCCGTCGTTGCGCGACGCATTTTTCGAGTAGCGACAACGGGTTGTTTGAAAGTGGCTCGATGATGAATCGAGAATTAGTTTGAAAATAGTTTGATCCGCTCTAGTCCCTATGGGTGCTCCTAGGAGATAAACTAATAATCGAAGAAATGCGAAACATACATCGGAATGGGGAAGGGATACATGTAAGTTACACGGGATTGCACGAAATAAAGGGATCTCATTGTCAGGTAGCCCAAGAGAAAGCTGTGTGTGTGCATTAGTGTCCTAAACTACGCCTTGAGCAGAGTCAGGCACGACTTAAAATTAGGATACCTGCAAATGACCAAAGATCCAACAGTCCACCAATTTGGCTTTTAGCAGCTTCGATAATTTATTAGGTGTTTTCGATTATGGGTGAATGAATATGAGATATGATAATAATAATATGAATAAATAATATGACAATAATATAGTAAGATAA